AAAAAAAAAAAAAAATCCAGTGACCTGAGTGTGTAGAACATGCAAAACATAAGCAATGTACAGGGAACACCTAAAAACAATGCACAGGCCTATGGAGAATAATGCTAGGGAAACACTTTATTAGTGCACTGAAGACCAGGGAGAGAACTGCAGGATAATGCGATGGCAGCCTTTGAGTGACATTAGATTTTATTTTACTTGCCTAAGTTTTCTGATGAATATGAAAGATTTGCTAAGAATAATTAAAACCGTAGCACATGTTCACTGTAACTCAAAAGAAAAAAAAGACACAACATGTTTAAAAAAATATATTTGTCCGATTCTCCAATCTCCAGTTGCTAGTAGTTTGTTAAGAAAGTCAAGTTTTTGGATCTTAGATTCCTTGGCACAGTTGGAGGAAACCAGGATCCATGGTCCTGCTCCAGGGAGGGAAGTGTGGGTCTGCCGGGGGAGGGCTGGTAGGTATTTGGGGAGCAGAAGGCAGGGAGCTGCTGACACCCCTCCCACGCCTTCTGGGGTTTTACTGCTCCATTCTGGGGCGGTTATGGACAATTCCTGGGGCCTCTGAGGAAAGAGATGATTTTGGCTTTTACCTTTACTTTCTAGCAAAGTCACCTTCCTGCAAGGAGGTAAGATGTCATCTGAGTTGAGCAGTGTCGGCTGGGGGAGCAGTTTTGTTTTAAGTTATTACAACTATTTTATTAACGACATATACTTTTCCCACCCCCAAAGTGCCCAACATCCTCATCAAAGTTCTTGGGTTTCCTCTGCCCCTACCCTCAGCTTTCTCTTCTCCCCATCTCCCTCCTGGATACCTCCGATCAGGTCAGCTTTCAAGGGTCGTTTTCGAGTTTGCTTCTCTGATCCTGTGTTTGGTTTCTCTATATTCCACCTATTAGTGAAACCCTCGGGTGGGTATTTATATCTGTCCTGGCTCACCTAGGCCAATCCCTGCCAGTTCCAGCCACGCGGGCAGCAGTTTTGTATGTCGCCACTAGATGGAGC